AACTAAAGATGACATAGATACTTTATTATGGTATAGTATTCAAATATATGCCTGAGAAACACAAAATTTTGGCCCTTTAACCTAAAACTCCTTTGGTTTTGCTCAAATGTTAAAAATAAATCAGCTTTTTATCGCAAGGATTCAAAAAAGGACTTCAAATCAAACTTATTTAAAGAGGTGCGTAGTAAAATACAGCTTCTWTATTTGTTTTGTCTTCCAGTATTAGCATGAACTGACACAACAACCGATGATTTAACTTCTGAAACCCTCTCAAACACATAACTGATRTCAGTGAACTGAGCAGAAGAATCATATTTGTGTACTGATGTGCTGCAGTCACCTCGTCTCCACTGTATTGTTTCAGACAGTGCAGGAAGCGGCAGGTGTTCGCCAGCCAGAATGAGACCGTCTCAAAGTCATCGCCTCGTTTCTACAAGAGGAGAGAAAAAACATTTTTATTAAAACAACCTGTTTTAACCCTGTGAGGTGTTTTTATCTACTCCTAGGCTCTATCCAGTAATGTTGAAGACCTAAACGTACCTTCAGGATCTTCTTGATGCTGTTGATGGTGGATGTGAGCAGAGTGCGGACCTTCTGGTCATCGTTCAGATAGTCTGCGTGTCTCAGACACATGAACAGGATGTAGGCTGGAAGACCTGGGATCAGATTCACGGCGACACCTCGAGGCTTCAGCTCTGGAAACGCAGAGGAGGAATAGTCTTTTTTTAGATTTAAAGTTATGCTGATTTTATTATAATTATAAAAAAGGTAGACATCAATAAAAGCTTCCTTGCTGTAACGTCTTACCCAGGATGAGGTTCTTAACCAGTTTCATTTCATCCTCCTTCTTGTACTCCAGCATTCCCTGGAAGTCCTTCTCCCTGCGGGGGATGTTCACAGGGTGGATGGGCTCCTCCACCATCTGTCCTGGGGACGTCTGTCCCTCAGTCTGACCCGCTGAGGGGACACAGTTCATGTGACAGTCAGCTAATCATCTGGAGCACCGAACACGTATCGTCAGTAGAGTCTCCCATACCTCCCATCTCACCAATCCTCTTGGAATAAACTTTAAGCTGCTTCTTCAGCTTACGGATGGTCCTGTCCTGCTTCTCCAGCTGCTCCATCAGGTCCTAAAACAGACACAGGGATGAAGTGATGAACAAGACATAAAGAAACGAGGAAAAGAAATAACAAATCAGGTTAAACTTGGACTACTGCACAATAACACCCTCTAGTGGTAAAGAAGGGCAATCGAAGATTTTGAGGGTCATTTTTTTAAAATAAAGCAGTTTAAATTTCATATCTGGGAAAAAACAAACAAACAAAAGAGGGTGGAGCTAAATCAGCAATAGAGCTGTGGTGCTGATTTTCAGAGGAGGGAAGGCTGCGGGACTCAGCCGCTGTTAGAAAAGAGAAGTGTGGTGAGCTGTAAGTTAGAGCTAACGCAGTGAGTTAGAACGACACTCAGCACTGTTTTTTCAGAGGACAAAAACTTTAGTTAGTTGTCACACACATGCTGACACACACACATGTGCAAACACACACACACGCGCACACACACAGCCTCTACATACAACCATCCGTCGTAAAATGATGACTCGAGCCTCTCGGGATGCTGCGGGGTCGCTGGTCATGAGTTCCTGTCAGGTGACACCATCCACACACTGTGAGCGTGTGACAGAGCTGGACTAAAACTCTTAGCCGTTAACCCCAAACTGGCCAACATAAACAAGTAAACTGTAAATAAAAAACAACTAAAGCAGAAGCTGATTTAAAACTTCCCTTTATCCATTTCTGTACTTTTTCTTTAAAGGGATCCATGATTACCGGTAGTTGTAACATTAGACTTTATTTGATAACCATTTATTTTAACTGTAAAATAAAGACTGTAAAAATACTGTAGGATGTTTAGTTTTGTACATTTTTTTTAAATATATTATACGGACGGAGCCATTTTATTTCCACACAAAGCATTCTGGGTAAATGATGACGTGGTGCGAGGCTGCTAGCGAGCTATATCCACCCTGAAGGTTAATCTTGGACAAT